AAAAAAAAAAAAAAAAAAAAGTGTAGGTATGTATTTCTGTTTGGAGGCTCAGGGTTCAATACCCAGTATTTGAAGGAACTGGGTGGTGGTGGGGGACACCTCAGGGCCTAAAAACAGGTCTAAAAACCCAGAGTCAGGAATAGCCACCGTAGCTGAAGATCAGGAAGGCTGTGAGGAGGAGGAGGTGGCTAAGATGGGCCTGGGACAGAAGGTAAGAGAAGGGCCATGAGGGTGGAGGATGGTAAATTCCAGGGACATCTTTTGGAAGGTGTCTGGGGGACTGACTGGTCATGAACTCAGGGACTCCAAGCCACTGAGCCCTGTGCTATTCATTCAAAACTTTGACATCACAGCCAGGCACACAGTAGGTATTCAAGAAGTGTTTGTGGTTGCTGGGTGTGGTGGTACACACCTGTGATCCCAGCACTTGGGAGGGAGGCTGAGTCAGGAAGATCTCCAAGAGTTCAAGGCCAGCCTGGGCTACAAAGTCAGTTCAAGCACAGCATGAGATGCGAAGCAAGACCATGTCTCCAAAAAATAGGGGAAAAAAAGTGTTTGTGGGATCAGTGAATAAATTTTTTTTTATTAAATTGCATTTTAGAAATGGCAGGGCAAGATCAAGGCCAGCTGGCCAGGGAAGAGGCCAGCAGAGCAAAAAAAAAGCAGCAGTGACCCTGTCTGCAGCTGCCTGGCTGTGGGGTGTGGATGAGGAGGGGAGTCAGGATGGGCAGAGGAGTGGGATGGGGCCAGCACAGGCAGAACCTCACGGCCCCGCACCCCGTGCTGGCCTCTGTGTGAGGTTAATTTCATGCCAGTCTGTGGGTGTGTGTTGTGCTCTCACTGTCAGCATTGGGGTCCCCAGAGCAGGGTCAAGTCTGAGTCCTAGTAGCTCCAACCCCTGGCCTGAGGCTTATGTTTCTATTTTGTTTTGTTTTATTCTAGTCCTTGAGGGCTGGGGATGTGACTTAGTGGCGCTGTGCCTATCTGGAAAGTGCAAGGTCCTGAGCTCAATTCCTGGTATGGGAGGAAAAAAAAGAAACACAATACAAAGCCCACCCAGTACTGTGGTTGAACTCAGGAGTAGTCTACCGCTGAGCCCCAGCCCCACCCCATTGAACAGGGTCTTACTAAATTGCCCTGCAACCTGCAATCCTCTTGCCTCAGCCTCCTTCAGTGCAAGGATCGTAGGCAGCACCACTGTGGCCAGCCTAAAGCCTAGTTTTGACTGAACTTGGGTAAAAGCTTAAAGAGATAACTAGGGCTTCTCCAAACACATTCTTGGGACCATAAACATGCTAATAGCTTTTTATTTTTATTTTTTTGGTACTGAGGATTATATCTATTTATTTTATTTTATTTTTTTGGTACTGGGAATGGAACTCAGGACCTTGCATTTGCAAGCAGGCGGTGGAACCACTGAGCTACATTCTGGCCTGTGGGGATTAATCCTAGAGCCTTCATGCTGAGCTATGTCCCTCCCTAGCCCTTTCTTTTTTTTTTAAACTGAGGCTTGAACTTGGGTCCTTGTGTTTGAGAGGCAGGCGGTGGAACCACTGAGCTAAATCCTTGGCCCTTGGACCAGTGTTCTTAACTCAGGGGCTCCTAAAGGGCCCGGTCATGTCTGATGACTCCAAATTATACTTCCACTTGATTCAAAACAAAGTTAAAATTTACCACTCTGAGAGTGGAAAGAGGAAGGAGGAGGTGAAAGGAAGAGGTGAGGAGAAAAGAGAAAAACTTGCACCTTTGTTTAGATCTATGTAAAAGAAATACAGTGGGAGTAGCTATTGCAAAAAAAATAAAAGGAAATCCACTTGTCAAACCTTCCCTTCTGGATCCTGTGCTAGTGCCTACCCCAACCCAGGCAAACAGATACCTCTTGACTCCTCCTTCCTCTGACAGTCCTGAGGATGGCCGAGGCAGTATTTTGTGTCGACTTCCTCAGCTCTGTGCATCAGTGGCACAATCCACGGACCAGTCTGAAGCATCCCTCACGACCTCCTTCCTCCACCCAGTCCCCACACCTACTGACAATAGGCTGGCTGTGAGAGGAAGGTGTCCTTGGGCCTGTGTCCCCTATACTGAGCTGCAGACTATTGCTGAGAGACAGGGGGATAGAGGTGTGCTGGATCCCGTTTCTCTCTCTTTTTTTTTAAACAATCCAGAATTTGAACCCAAGGCTTCATATTTAACGATATCTCCAGCTTCCCTGCCCCTCGAGATAGGCTTGCTACATTGCCCTGGCTGGGCTCAAACTTGTGGCAATCTTCCTGCCTCAGCCTCCCAGAATGCTGGGATTATAGGCATAACCTTCCTACCTAGCTAGGCACTGGTTCTTTGGTGCTAGCTCTCCTTCCTAGGGTTCTGAGAAGGAGTATTACCACTTCTGCCCTCACCTGTTCCAATCTCCCCAGGTGCCCACACGCACAGAGACGCCTGGTCTCACCACCTGCCATCCGGGCACCGAGTGTTTATTATTACAGTCCATTTCACATCCGCACTGCGGAGAAAGGGTGAGGGGAAACAGAGAGAAGGGGAACCCGGACCAGATCCCAGACCCCTCCCCCCGCCAGGGCCCAGGGCATCTGTCCCATTGGGCAAGGAAGACTTTGTGAGATCCCTGAGGGCCCCAGGAGGTGGGGGCTGGGAGCCGCAGAAGAGGTGGGGTTGATGGCCAGCCCCTGCGGAGGGTGGTACCACCCCTGCCCTGGGAGCCGGCGGCACATCCCACCATGTCAGGGGAGCGCTCTCCCATGCCTGTGCCCCCGTGCCGCTGTCCTCCTCTTGGTAGGGCTGGGGACTGCTGAGTGCCTCCCAGCCCACCCCGTGCGTGGTAGATTCCTGTTTTGCTCTGTGTCCTCTCCCACCTCCCAGCCTGAAACCCTTGGACCTCAGGGTCAGATGCACACGCACACGAGGTCAGTCCCCCTGTCCTCCTGTCACTCTGCAGGCCTGGCTGCGATGGCCTTGGCCCAGGGCATGGCATGAGGGCTAGAGAGATGGGCTCAAGAGTGAGCTCCCTGGGCCTTGTGGCTGGGGCTTTGAGCAGGGGAGGGACTCGAGGGTCTTCAGCCAGGACTTCTGCAGCCAGCTCGGAGAGGAGGAGCTCCCCAGTCTGGCTGGTGGCGCACCCGCGATTGGGACATTCTTCTGTCCACCCGGCTCCGAGGCCGCCCAGTGAGGGAGAGGAAAAGAGGGGAAGTTCCCAGGCCTGGAACCTTCTGAGGTGTGCCTGGGCCCACTGAGTGGAGGCGAAAGGTCACAGTACACTGTGGACTCTTGTACCATTGACCGGCAGCAGTGCCCAGCTGGGTGAGCGGGCATCAAGCAGGAAGTGGGGGCAGGGTGCTCCCTGTGTTCGCAACGGCTCTTTGTTCCCTGGACATGAAGGAGGGCTCAAGGTGGGGCTAGGGGTGGGCACCTGTCAGGAGCAGTTCCATCTGGCTCCTCCTTGAGGGCAGGGTGCCCACCCTCAAAGTCTTCCCTGTCCCATCTGTCCACATGCTGGCCCCAGACCTCTTCGTAGGGGGTGCAGCCCCCTCCTCTCCAGTCCCATGGCCTGGCCTCTTCCTCTGCCAGGCGGCTCCAAGGTCCGGATGGGCTCAGAAGCCCCCGCTTTCAGAGCTGCTTCGGCTGTGGTAGCTTGGACTGGGGCTTCGGGAGGGGCTGCGTGTGTGGCTTCGGGTCCCTCGACTTTGACTACTGTAGCTTCCATGGCTGTGCCCCGGGCTGGGGCTGCGGCTGGGGCTCCTGCTTGAGTAGTCGCTGCTCAGGCAGCTGGAGGAAGAGGAGGGGCTGGGCCGGTAGTAAGGGATGGGACGCTTTCGGGCACTGCCAGGAAGGAAAAGTGCGTTACAGGCCAGCCAAGACGCTGAGCCCCATCCCAGCAGCAGCCAGGGTTTTCTCCCTGTTTCCCTTGAGCCCTGGCCTTTGAGACATCCACCTCTCCAAAGAGAATCTGAGTCACTTTTCAATTCCAATTCCACATTGATCATCTTGTTTTCCCTTTCCTGTCTGCAGGAAAGGAAGCCAAGACCTTGCTTGGTGTGGCTATGTGTTTTTGTTGAATTAATGACCCTACTCCCCCAGTACTGGGGATTAAACCCAGAGTTTTTACCCTGAGCTTTATCTCCACTCCTTTTTATTTTGAGAAGGGGTCTTGCTGAGTTGCCCAGGCTGGGCTTGAACTTTCCATCCTCCCACCTCAACTTTTCAATGCTGTGTGTGTGCCATCATGCTTCGTTTCTTTTTTTTTTCTTTTGGCTTTTTGAGACAGGGTCTCACTGTGTAGTCGAGACTGACTATGTAGCCCAGGCTGGTCTTGAACTCACAGCAATCCTCCTGCCTCAGCCTCCCGAGTGCTTGAGTTGCCCAGGCTGGGCTTGAACTTTCCATCCTCCCACCTCAACTTTTCAATGCTGTGTGTGTGCCATCATGCTTCGTTTCTTTTTTTTTTCTTTTGGCTTTTTGAGACAGGGTCTCACTGTGTAGTCGAGACTGACTATGTAGCCCAGGCTGGTCTTGAACTCACAGCAATCCTCCTGCCTCAGCCTCCCGAGTGCTGAGATTACAGGCGTGTGCCACCACACACGAGTGTGCCACCATACTCGGCTTTCTTTTCTTTTTTGAAACAGGGTCTCACTGTGTATCTCAGGTTGGCCTCGAATTCCTGGCAATCCCCTTGCCTCAGCCTCTCAAGTGCTGGGATCACAGGCGTGTACTACCACAGCCCGCCATGCTTGGTTTCAATGAAACTTTTACATAGGAATGGCTCACATCAACCAAGCTAAGCAGGGACCGACCTCCATACTTCTGGGGACTGAATCCAGGGCCTTGCACATGCTAGGCAAGCACTCTTCCGTTGACTACACCCCTGGCCTCTTTACAGGGTATTTATGAACAGAGTGCAGCCCATTTCCCCATTCCTGATGGAATGGAGGATTTGGGCTTTTCAGGTGTCTCAAAGGGAACAAAGGGGAAACCCCTGGCTACTGCTGCCCATGCCTGAGGCCTGGCCCAGTCCCGCCGGCCCCCGCTCCTCACTCAGCTACCTCCCGCTGGCCCAGAGTTGGGAGTTAGTTCGAAGGCAGGAAGCTATGACCCAGAGAAAAGAAAGAGAGTGGTTAAGGGGGCTACAGCGTCCCATCTCGGGGGTTAATTCTGAGGAAGAAAATGGGGTGCGTTAGTGGGAGGAGGAGGTAACCTGGGGGAGGGCTGAGGTGAGTGCTGGGTGGAACACTTGGGGTCTGGCTGTCTCTGGGTAGCAGTGTGCCCTGTGTTTGTCCTAACTTTGGTGGTCTGGGGAGGGAAAGGAGACCATGCTGTGTCCTCTATCAGAAACCCTGGTAACCCAGGACTAAGGCTTAATTTGATGACTGAACCCTGTTGGAGTTGAAATGATGCTGGGGAGCTCTGCTGATTACCACCGAGGCTCAGAGGAGCACCAGTCTCCCCAGTTGCCCAGCAAGACAGAGGCAGAGCTGGGCTCAGAACTTTGCCAGTGGCCTCCCCTCGCCCCAGGATAATCCTGGACTTCCGGAGCATGTGCACAAAGGTGCACCACCAGCTCACCTGGAGACCCAGGCCCAGACCGCTCCAGTCCTAGCAGAGAAGCCGTGACAGTATGGCTTCTCCCCAACTGGCCTCACCCTGGGCACAGCCTAATTGGGCTGTGTGGGGTTGTTTGTTTGGACAGCTGCCCCCAAGTCCACCGGACAGCTCAGCACCCTCCTCCAAGTCCCCAGGGGGCTGGGAGGTTAGTGAGGAAATGAGAGGCAGACAGACGGACAGCTGACCAAAGCCAGACCAGCTCACACGCGCATCTCCCCGGCAGCCTGTGCAGAGGGGTCCACCTGGCCCCCAGGCTGGCCACAGGCCACTCGGCAGGCTGGACCTTGAGATGAAGGAGAAAAGGAGACGTCATTGTCTGGGGATGAGTGTGAGAGGGAGGCAGGAAGGGAGAGAGAGCTCCAGAGGGATGGCTGGAATCTTCTAGGACTGAGCTCCCGGCCTGGGGCCGCCCATCCATGCCCAAGGACAGAATGCCCTCCCTCCATGGGCCTTCGGGTCTCACTGGGGAACTTTCCCTTCCTTAGGGTCTCTGGTCACTCGGCCCCCAGGCCTTCCAGTCCGATTCCTCTGCCCCTACAGGTCCTACCTCTTTTCCTTCGGTCCCCACCCCCCTCCGGGAAACGCCCTCCGCAAGTCCCTTGCCCGGCGAAACCTCACACCCCTGAGGTCCCTGGTCACCGACTTGGGTCAGTGGCCCCTGTCCCAGCCCTCCCTAGCCCTGGGCCCCTCCCTACCTAGTGATGCGCCGCGGCTCCATGAAGCTGGGTGAGTCGCGGCGCCGCTTGCGGATGGGGGAGTAGCTACGGGAGCGGCGCCGGTTGCGAGATGCCTCGGCTTCGGCGTGCCTGGCGCGGCCCTCGCTGTCTTTGTCCCTGCGGGGTTGGCCCCGGTGAGCTACGCGGCCTAGCTCTCTGCTGCACGCGTCCTTGACCTGGTCCCCGCGGTGCGCCCCCTAGAGGCCGGGGTACCCGCTGCCCGCACCCTCTAGCGGCCGGGGTCCCCGCTGTACGCCCCCTAGAGGCCCGGGTCTCCGCAGCCCCACGGGGCGGGGGGCTGCTGTCCTCGATGTCGTCTGGGCCGGTAGCGCGGGCCACTCACCTGCCCAGAGGTTTCTTGGGCGACGGAGAGTGGCTGGGGCTGCGGGCCCTCTTCTCCGGGGACCGCGAGCGGGATTTGGAGGGCGATCGGCTGGAACTCCAGGACCGGGGGTGGGGACCAGGACTGCGCGACGAGCTTTTACCCTCCGGACCGCCGTGCCTGCCGTGCGGGCCTGGCGACGGCGAGGTGCTGGCTGGGCGCGCGCGCGGGGGTCGCTCTTTCGCCCTGGGGGAGGGGGATGCGGAGGGGGTTCAGGGGAGCGGGCGTGTGGGCGGAGCTTAGCAAGAAGGGGAGAAGCCCGCGAGGGGCCTCGCTGAGTAGAGTGCTGCGTGGAAAGTGAGGAGTGGACCCGAGCCCGGTGGGGACAGAGGGGTTGAGAGAGGGTCGGTGGAGGAAGGGTGTTCTGTGGGGTGGAAGAAGAGTGATTGGTCAAAGAGGGGAGCCCAGTGGGGGCAGAGTATTCCTTTGGGAGGAGGGACCAATGCGGGGGAGAACAGTGTGTCCGTGTGGGGTTGGCATCGGTCGGGGTGGGGACCAGTAGGGGATGGAATTCCTGGTTGGGATAAGTGAGGGGAGGGATCAGTGGAGGAAACGAACCAGTAGGGGCAGGAGAACTCCGCGGGGAGGCAGGCTGGGGAGCCGAAGCTCGGTGGCAGGGTGGCCTTTGGGGCGGGGCAGCAGCCGGGCTCACCGTTTCCCGTGTCCGCCGTG